TATAATTTCCTAAGTATTTCCTTGTTCCTCTGTGTGTCTGTGTTCCATTTAAGTGCTGATAATATATTCATTCAGACAATACAGCAGCAAACTTTATACTGGCTGACTGTCTGGTCAACGAATGCTCTACACAGTGATATACACATACATACGCACATAGAAGGTAAACAGTGACCCTGCAAGTTTGGCTATTGGGGTACTTTGGTGACAATCATGGTTTTACGATAAGAAAAAAAACAAGCAACAAAGGATGCAGGATTTGTGGTAAAATAACCTGTTGCACCAACAGCCAAACAAAATCAGTCTGGAGATATGTCCCTTCTTGCCAGTGTGTTGTGTGAAGTAGAGACAAGTGACAGAGCAGGGGTAGGCAACCTCGGCACTGCAGCTATGGCAAAAAAAAAATAAAACCCATCATGCCTCTGCCTCTGGGAGCCATGCCTGTAGCGGTCAGAGTCTTGGCATTTGTAGTTTCACCCCCAGCTGAAGTACTGAGGTTGGCTACATCCTGAATAGGGGCTGGTAAATTATTGGTACAAGCAACTAACTTATTGACCACCAGATCCTGAAATTCCAAACCAATTTTAGTAAAAACAAGGCTAGTAATATTAATAATACAAGAGAGTTTGCACATTGATTAACAATACATCGCTTACATTTATTTAAGTTATATTTAATAAAACTAGACTTTTGTCAGAAAAATATAATTAGATTTTTTTACATCATTTGTATACATGATATACAATATACATAATAACTACTTTTATTAAAAACAATGCTGATAATGTTAACGATTATAATACAAGACAGTGTGCACATCAATTAATAATACATCACCTAGATTTATTTGAATTCTGCTTAATAAAACTAGACTTTCTCAGAAAAATATTAGTATTTTGACATTATTTGAATATACATTGATAGTCATACAATGATATATGTTGTACAATACACATAATAAAACATAATAATAAACATTATTATTATTAATATACAAATAATTTACTAATTTTTAAAGACACTCATCTATTCCAGAGGTTTTTAATTTAAGTGGATATTTCACATCTACATTTTTCCATTCTGTTTAGTAACATTGAGACATCCCAACCCACACTTCACCAATTTAATGAACATCACCGTATCTGTTTTCATGCGGGGTATCACCTGTGAGTACAATCCATTATATCAGCAACACCATCCCATGCAGTGCTGCTCATGGAGCTGAGAGATTAGACTTTAGACTATGGAGTATATCATTAAAACAACACAATTAGGTTTTATAGTTGCTCACAAAGTGTTCATAAGGGGGAAGTATTAGCGGTTGTCTTTTTTTTCCTGGGGACCTATAACAATCTTTAACAGGCTAATACTTAGAAATTCAAAGAACAATGAGCAACTTGGAGCCAATCAGGTATTACTTTTTATTGTTCTGCATAATGCGCAGTGCTGAAGGGTGAATTCTAATCAGAAGTTCTAAAAAAAATTCAGTGTTGGGCTCATATGTGACTAGCTTTGCTTCCAGTTACAATATAAATCACAGGAAAGAAAGCATAAGTCACGGAAGTGTTTAGCACTCTGTATAGAGAAGTAAGTGACTACCGAATAGGGAAAGAAACCCTTAGGTCTATAATTCCCCTTTGTTGTTTCGGTTACATTTGTTGCATTTTCTATTCACTCCTGGAATTATACTGTCACCTACTGTCAGATAAAAAAATTACAAGTCACCTTTTGTTACTATTCTTCCTATTCCTCCTTTTATATTAATTAGTTACATTCAACATTATACTTAGTGACTTTTTTCCCAATCAGACGTTCTTTGGCATTTAATTCTGGCCTTATTATAATAATATAACACTTAGGGAGGAATATACAACACAGTAATCCACCACTGGAGGCCAGGATGGAGAAGATTTCAACAGCTACCATGTACTTACCTTTCGTGCTTAGATAAGCTGGAAAAAAAGACAGCCAAACGCTGCAGAAAACCAGCATACTGAAGGTGATATGCGTGGCCTCGTTAAAGGTATCGGGTAGTTTTCTGGCTAGAAAGGCAACTATGAAACTGAAAACAGCCAGCACACCCATATAGCCTATAAGAAAGTAAAACGCAACAGACGACCCTTCGTTACATTGCAGTGTCATCTTCAGTGATCTTTCTGATGTATCAAAATCCGGAAAGGGTGGATTACACAAAAACCATACAAAACATATTATGACTTCACCCATAGCACAAATGCAAACTAAGTATGTTGAGATCCGAGCCTTCATCCATTTTCTTGACTCACTGCCAGGCTTTGTGGCATTGAAAGCGATAACCACAGTTATGGTTTTAGCCAAAACTGATGATACAGAAATGGCAAATATAATTCCAAATGCTGCCTGGCGGAAAAAGCAAGTAATGGTGTGTGGACGTCCAATAAATAATAAGGAGCAGAGGAAGCACAAAGTAAGAGATAGGAGAAGGATGTAACTGAGGTCTCTGTTATTGGCTTTCACTATGGGAGTCTCCCAGTGTTTCATAAATATGGACAGAATTGCTACAGTGAGAGCCGACAGCACAACTGCAAGGAGAGATAATGCAATTCCCAAAGCATCTTCATAGGACAGAAAGTCTATGGTTCTGGAGATACACTTGTCTCTTCTCTCATTAGACCACTGGTGTTCAGTGCATTTGATGCAGTTTTCCATATCTAAAAGATAAGCGAGATCTAATAATAAATATGTATTATAAATTGTGTAGCTATATTAAAGTGAACCTGTCATGTTTTTAAAATCAATTATACAGTACTGTGCACCTAATATCAAGCAATCCATCAAACTAAATCAAGTTTTCTATATAACCCATAGTTGAACAATTTATAAAACATTAAAATAGTCTATAATATCCATATTTCATCAAATAAAATCTTCAAACCCAAAGCCTGAAAGTATTTTATCTGTGCTTTAAACCATACAAAGATTATGTGTACCTTAAATATGAGTAGGGCCCACCTAACCATCTTATCTAGAATTGTATTGTGACTCTGTCTTCCTTCATATTGTAGTGTTGTGCAAACTGTTGGCGCTATATAAATCTTGTGTAATAATAAATATAAACTTCACTCTGACTTAAAGTGATGTAAAATGGCAGCCTAAATAAAATGCTGACACCCTTTAGTGAGAAAACACAGTGAGCACTGCTACAATACTGAGTTGTGCACAGGTATAAGTAAGAAGAAGATGAAGATTTTTTTTAAAACATACAGCTAGAGATGTAATAGTTGTTCTTAGCCTGTTCTATAATACGTGTAGTATATATGTAGCAGTTTGTAATAACTAAGTATGAGATAGGCACAGTAGCAAACATCCCCACACATGTCCACACAGCAGCTCTATCGGTAGCTTAGGAAGAAGAAGCATTTAGAAACTTCAACACAAACACAAACAAGAGTGCACTGGAATAGTGTAGGATGTTTCATTCACTAAACTGATTTAAAAAGAATTGCGCTCACAAGCGTGATCCCTGTATGATGACATGTAAGCGAGAGAGAATTATGACTCAGGTCTGATCATCAAAAGGTTCTCACAGCATGAGTAGAACCAGGAATGGAGTGAATAGGGTGCATGCCAATCCTGGAAGCTGGTTGACTATTGCTGGTCACTAGCAATGCACTCCCTTAACTCTACTTTACCCAATCTTCTTGGTGTGTGAAAACATGCTGTGTTTAGGTGTATGTCCATAGTCATGTCTTGAGTGCCTAATAAGGAAACCTTCTGACAACATTGCAACATTAGTCCTTTACATATAAGGGCATAGTAAAAGTCTTTAAAAAAGACTTTAACAACATGGTGATATCTGCAGGGCTATTCACAAAGCTGCTGAAGGCAGCCGAGTGAATAACCGGGCCAAAGTGAATGAAGCCGAACGAGGCTCGGGTATTCACTCCAGCTCTGTATGGCTGATTTCAGCCGAGGGACTTCAACTCAGCCGATCCAACATCTGGATCAGCTGAGCCTTCAGCAGGCCATTCTCCCCACTTCGGCTGTCACTGTGGCTCAGTCAAGCCGAAGCATATGCTGAGCCGCTCGGGCCACCTTCGGCTGCTGTACGGGGTATTGAGAATAGCCCTTTGTGAGCAGCCCTTTGGTTCGACTGAACTGAAGGGCTCTGGCAGCCGAAGAGAGCCAAAGCTACGGCTGGATCCTTCGGCTCTTTAGTGCATAACCCCCTTAGTCTCCTTAAATATGGTGGCTTTTAACACAGGTAACTAATTTCCTTTCATTTGAACATGACTAAAGGTCAATACCAGGCGGGCGATGCTGTACCAGGCACAAGACAGGATCGTAGTTGAAGAACAGGCCATTGTCAATACCATGCGGGCAACGTGGTACAAGAACAGCATGCAGAAGCGGAGTCAGGAACAAGCTATGGTCAGAGTACAGAGGATCAGTCGAATGGTCAGAACAAGCCAGGTCAGTAACAGGGAAACAGGATCAAGATAGCTGGTAGCTGACGTCCACTCAGCACTGGACATCAGAAAAACGCAGTTTAAATAGCCTGTCTGGCTCCAGAGTCTGTAGTACGTGCGCAAGCACTCACGCATGCACACCTTCGAGTGCACATATTCGTCCACGCAGAGGCACATGCACGAGCATGACTCCATGGGCCAAACCGTGCGAATGCGCAAATGCTAGTGGAACGCCACTGAGAGAGCCGTCTTGACAGGCTTCTTGACACAAAAGGTGCAAGTGCCGTTTTCATGTGCTGAGGTGTGCTGTCTCCCTTTTCAGAATTAATGGCCTACCTTAGCACAGCGTTGGCTAATGCAGCATATAGTGTATCCATCCATAGTGTGAATAGCAGAAAGGGATGGCAGGGTACTATAGTAGCTTGTGAAAAAAAATCACAGCACCCTACTATAGTACCCCTTGCAAGAGCCCTGATGCAAGTGTGCTGGTTCTTGGGAACTTCTTTTGTAAGTCAACCTCATAATATTCAAAGAGGAACTTTACCCCAAACATTATTTTTTTAGTTTTAGGTGGAAAGAGGTAGGATTGGTCTACTTTAGGGTCATTAAAGAGAAATTCCAGGGATTTTAAATGTTAACTTGCAGTGGGGCTACTCCCGCACTCCAAGGGTTAACTGTTGTTTTTTGTCTCGGGAAATAAAGAAGAAATACCCACCTGATCCTCGAGCCTGCTTGGCTGTTAGACTGGTCAGCCTCAGGTCCCCACAGCCCCCCACAGCCTCTACTCCCCTGGGCCCTGGTGGTCTAAGGTCTCCTGAATCATCACGTCTAATAAAGTATATTAGATGTGAGGACGCCGAGGGACGTGCCACAGCGGGAGCAGAGGGGGAGAGAGGTGAATGGTCACTGCTGCAGGACCGAGGATCGGGGAGTATGTCTTCTTTTTTCGGTCCCCTGCATGTGGTGTGAACCAGCCCTAAATCTAAATTTTAATTTTGTATCATGGCTCACTGTATACAGGTGCAAATAATTTCTTGTGCGTAATATATTTCAAAGTTCCATACCTGGAGATCCTGCCAGTAACAGCACTTTCTATTGCAAGCTGATAACAAATAGTGATGGGCTGAACACCCCCCTGTTCGGTTCGAATTCGAGTTTTCAAAGATGGGAAAAGTTCAAATTCAAACTCAAACTCAATGCAAGTCTATGGGGGTAGAACTTTGAAAATAAATTGACCCCATTTTGAAGGCTTATTTGCAAGTTAATGGCCATAAAAAGGTGTATGGGGATTCGGGGTACTGCCCCGGGGGACATGAATCAAGGAAAAAAACACTTTTAAAAAATAAAATTTTTAAACGAGCACTGATTTTAACATCACCTAAAGTGAAAGAATAAAAATTCCTTTAAATTTCGTGCCTGGGGGGTCCCCTTAAACTGCCTGTATAGTGGCGCATCTGTACGAGGTATAGAACCTGCTGCAGCGAAACTGCAAACAATAAAACCCAAAAGACATGTTTTTGACAAGTCTTTTACTTTAAAAAAAATAGTATCCACCGATGTAATCCAGTGTCAATCATGACGCCCAGCGTTGTCCACGACGATGACTCGACGGAATAAAAAAAAAACAATAAAAAATAAATAGAAATAATTTTTAAAAAAGGTTTTCTTATGATTTTATTCAACTGAACATTTTAAAAGTTTTTTTCTTTGCACTTAATTTTATTGCTATTACATAGGGAGTGATATATAGTATGACTTGCAGTAACACCCGATAATGGTGTAACGGGGGTTTTACCATATGTTACCCCAATGAACTACATCATGTGTGCCATGGTGCAATGCCAGTTCAGGGAAAGGAATCTGGTCCAGCTTTCCTTAACAGGGGAAAGATTCCTTCCTGATCTCCAAAGGCAACATCCCACAGGGTAATTGTTTATAAATGTTAAACTGACTAGAACCAGCTTGTGTGGAGCACAATTCCACATTTCTACAGCTCTTATTGTAAAGAACCCTTTCTGTATGTGGAGGTTAAACCACAGATGTAACTAAATAAAACATTCCTATTTTTTCTCTTCCTTAAGGTGGCCATACACCTTATAACCATTGCACGACTTTCATTGTGCGATGGTTGTAAGGTAATTAAAATCTCGTACGATCTGCCCATCTTGGACAGGCAGATTGTACTTGCGATCATCACAAGCCCTCCCCACCGCGGAGTGCTTGCGATGATTCCAATGTTGAGCGGGCTGTGTGTGCTTGCGTACACTGGCCGTTCGGCATTTGTCTTCCGAGCACGCCACTAACCCAGCCGAAAATCGTACTATTCTCTGCGGTTTTTCGAGCGTGCTCGGAAGACAAAAGGCGTGCGACCGTACAGTAGAAACACGCCTTCCATACACTTGCCGATTATTGTACAAACGTGGTATCACCTGCGATTATCGTATGATAATCAGCAGGTGTATGGGCACCTTTACAATTTCAACACACTTTAAAAATGATTGCACGTTAAAATGTAGCCAGTGGCAATACTAAGGTTCAGGCACAAATCATTAATGATTGATGAGACTTACCTGTGCTGTTAGATATCTCCCCCTCTGAGCACAGAACACAGTCATAGCAACATGTTTGCTGGGACTTTCTGAGAGCTTTTCTGTATCCCGGAAGACAACTGTTACTGCACACAGAACGAGGAGCCTAGGAAATAAATGAATACATGTTTGTTATAAGCATGTGATGTAGAACTGAAGCCAAAACTTTTTTTTTCTACTTTTGAATAGAGTAAAGGAGGGTTATAACCCCTATCAGCTTTTTTTTGCCATCCGCCACCCATTGGAGAGATTTAGCTATTTTCTTCCGGTCCGATAGCCACAACAGGAAGTCCGAGGAAATCTCTCCAAAATGAGGGAGATGCGCAGGGGTTAGCGGGGATTTGTGTCCCATCTAATCTTGTTCTAATCTCAACCCAAAATTTTAGATTTTCTTTCACTTTCAGTGATAATGGTCATCAGGACAAATAGAGGGGATGGATCTCCCTAATGGGGACACAGACAGCAATAAAAACCTGATAGGTGATCTAATCCCTCTCCACGCTATCAAAAACAAATAAAGTTTTGGCATCAGTTGCACTTTAATCCTTCATCCTGACGATCTCAGGAGAGAGCAGTTTACCCTCTTAACCTACCTACAGCTTACTTAACTGTATATTTAAACCATTCCCAAATATACATAACATCACCTCAATAACACTATTGGGGTTATTCACAAAGCTAGCCGAAGGATCAGCCGTAGCTCCATATATATTCACTGTAGCCCGTACAGCTCCCGAAGTTGGCCGAGCGGCTCGGTTGAGCCGAAGTCATATGCTTCGGCTCGACTGAGCTGAGATGAAATCCGAAGTGGGCCATTGGCCGGCCAAAAGCCTGCTACTGACAGCTGGGCGGAGCCAGGGGATGCTGATCTGTCATTACAATGAGAACTCGGCGGCCCGCTGAGTTCTCAGTGTGTAATGACAGTTCAGCGTCCCCTGGTTACCTGTAACATTGCCGAGTTCTCATTGTAATGACAGATCAGCATCCCCTGGTTACCAGGTAACCAGGGGACGCTGAACTGTCATTACACACTGAAAACCTCAGCGGAGCCGGCCGTGATATCACGGCGGCTCCAACGAGTTCTCATTGTAATGACAGATCAGCGTCCCCTGGTGATGAGAACTCTGCAATGTTACAGGTAACCAGGTGACGCTGAACTGTCATTACACACTGAGAACTCGACGGAGCCGGCCGTGATGTCACGGCCGGCTCAGTCATGTTGTTATTAATTGGCCCGGACCTGCTCTAGCAGGTAACACTGCTAGCTCTGCCTAATAGTTTTCTAATTTTTTTTTCTACTTTTTTAAACTCTTTTTCTATTCTGCTCAGTACCACAGATGTACAGAGAGAATAGCCAAGCCGAATGGCGCTCAGCGGCTCTCGGCTAGTCACTCACTGCTGTTCGGCCCCTATGAGAATAGGCCGAACAGCAGCGAGTAGCCTGCCGGAGGTTCGGCTCAGCCGATCCAGATGTTGGATCGGCTGAGTCAAACTCCTTCTGTACTTCGGGTCGGCTCACTTCACTTTGGGTCGGTTATTCACATGGCTACATTCGGCAGCTTTGTGAATAATCCTGTATGTTTTGGGTATGCCATGCCCACTTTACTCACTCCCGCTTCTCCAGTTATTGAGATGTATCTGTTAACATTAGGACAGATAAGAATCAGATCATCCCACTGGCATTGTCACCACATTGTCATATTTTTTTAAAGTGAATCACTTCAAGACCTCATTAATTTCCAACTTATATTATGACCTCCACCAGGAAGCAGAAGTGGCAACTCACCAAAATCATTAAACCCCAAATATACATTTTGTTCAAATCCTTTCCTAGTGAGAATTATTTTCTGTGCAAACTCAACCACCACCATACCATAATGTAAGGCTGGTAACTCATCGGAAGGTTGGGTCTGAGGGTCAATATGCACTTATGTACAGTAATAACACCATCTGGAATCAGCAATGGACTTTGTATCATGCATCTCTGAAATTATTATTCCAAGAATCCAAGGCTCTGACTTGCAACAGAATTCGTCCAATAACGAATTTCGTTGCGTCAAAATGACATTAGGGGGAACAAAAATGACAGTCTGCAGAAGATGAAAAAAAAAGCCTGAGGTTCCCCCCCAATTCATACCAGACCCTTTAAGTCTGGTAGGAATGTTAGGAGAATGCCAATTCAAAAGCAAAGGAAAAAAAAAAAAACTTTTAACTTGACTCGCCCTGGAATTGAACCTAGGACCTTAGCAATGGCAAGCCTGTGCTTTAACCACTACTCTATAGCCTCTGTACTGTAAGTATAGATGTCCGAATTTCGGGAAATCGGGAATTTCGGATTCGTTTGCATTCGTCTTAGCTGTAATTCGGAATTCGGATGCATCCAAATCTCCGAATTTCCGAAAAATTCGTCCAAAACGAATTTCGGAACGAACCGAATCACACATGTCTAGCTGATAGTACAAAAGCACCCCACTGCTTAGTAGCATGCATGAAGGTGTCAGTGCTCAAAGCTCCACCCTACGTGTTTAGTCCAACATGGACATTGTCAGGGTCTACAGCCACTGGCGTACATTGAGACTATTTAACAACAGACCAGAGGTGAATGCCTTTATCCACCCCCATTAATGGCCTCAGAGCAAACATGATAGACATTTAAAAAAACTTTCATAAAACAAACACTGTTAATATGCATTCATATATGAATAAAAGCAAATCTTTATATGTTGCAAGTAGCTAAAAGTTTATATGAATAAAAGCAAATCTTTATATGCCGCAAGTAGCTAAAATAGGCCATATTGTATTCACCACCACATACAAAAGGATTAGGGGAGGAACAGTCTCCAGAAGCTGCTAGGGGCGTTTATTCCCCCTAATCCTTCTATGTGTGTTGATAAATCCATTATGGCCAGAGTGACTACTGCTTGGTGTGGTTCTCCATATTAACAGATATTGTATATTCTGCTATGATCTTCTCTTTCAGTCACAGACATTGTTCCCAGCAGTCAATGTTCACACGAGATTCTTCCTTGTATACTGCAGACATTGAAAGCAAAGCTCTGTTTGGTGATAGACAATTCTTTAGTATGTTGAAGTTAGGATACCTGTTTGGTGTGGTTGTCCACTAGAGGACTGCATTAATTACATGAACATCTAAGGTGTTTTGGAGATTTTTCTGTTAACTCAGATCATCTTCAATCATCCTAAAGACACAATTTGAAGCTCACCGGCTACAGATATACACCCCACTCTTTAAGTCCCCTTCTATCCCCTGTAGACTATGGGCTATGACTACTCAATACTCATACACACTGTATATATTTAGAAATACACAAGCTTACCGCAACTCTTAGAAACAAGCAGAGTCAACCACCTACCCCATCATTGAATCTAATGTAACCTACCTACTTCAATGTATCTGTAAATGGTAATGGTGGGGTTGTGAAGGGTTTAGACGGTGTTAGCCCTCTCTGTGATGATTTTCCTTTATACAGTGACCGTCCAGCCTGTGTTTTTACTGTGTTGAAGTTTCAATTTTTTTAAATAAATTTGTACGAATAAAAAGATATTTTATCAGTAAAGTTGCATCTGAATTGTAAATCATTGTGGCACCTGTAATGTCCCAGCCATAGATTGTCCAGTAGACCCCATTTTTATTCAGATTCAGTTCAGTAACTCTCACAGGTCTTTTTCCCACCCAACCCTCTGACCGGACAGTCAAAGGAGAAGCAGAAGACAGATAAGCTCAACTCATCACTCTGCTCTCTCCTTCTCAGCTTGCTTCTTGCACTGAATCACAAATGCTTTGTTCCTTGTGCTGCTTCTTGTGCAATAGAAGAGACTGCAAGAAGCTGATACCAGATCAAATTCGGGTACAAACACTACTTACATTTAAAGTTGTATAGGAATGTACATGAATTCCATAGCAATAACAAGTCTGCTGGGGTATGACTAGTGACTTATCAGTAGCTGATGTAAGCTCTGTTGCCATTTTACCATGCCTTATGAAACCATCCGCATATGGGCTACACACCTAATTTATCTTGGCAGGCAAAGCCTCAGGTAGTGCCCTCTGTCTTTTAGAATCCGTAAGGTTTTCCCCTTGTGAACTCTGGTGGTGAGATCTATGCCAGGTCCATTCAGAAAGAAAAAAAAACCCCCAAACAATGCACTTATGTTGCTTCGTAATTTGAAATCTTTTTCTGGTGGGTAATAATCAAGCTATAATTGTTGTCACAATGGGGCTTTAGACACAAATGTACCTACATAATACAATTGTGTGTAAGAAACGCTATGTCTATGCTTGCAGAAAGCTTTTAGGGGAACATGCTGCAGATACAGAATTATCTAGCAGTGGACACTTTAGTAACATAATGGCAAGGGCATAATGGGGGGCATTTATCAAAACTGGAGCAAACAGAATCTGGAGCAGTTGCCCATAGCAAACAATCAGCATCTTGTTTCAATTTGCTCAGGTAAGATTTGAAAGGGAGAGAGAGAAGATGATTGGCTGCAGTGCAAATCTGCCCCAGGTTTTGTCTGCTCCAGTTTTGATAAATCTCCCCCAATGTGTGCAATGGCACAGCATAGTTAATAAAACTGTAAAGTTTATCAAGTTGTTACCCTGCCTTACAGTACATACTTACCAGACAAATGGTACTGAATTGCAACTAGTGATGAGAGAATCCATCAAAATTCAATTTGCTTGAAGTTTGGAGAATTGCATTGACGGTCACGGGGGGAGGGGGAGTGAACCCTGATAGCCTGGTGACTAAGTGCAACAGCGCAAAACATGTCAAGGCAGTTACCTACTGCATGTGCTTTTTGAAATAATGTCTTCTGTAAAGTCTCATTAATGGTCTCTGTTTGTGTTCATGGTGAGTCTTATAGTAAATACTGCCCATTTGTAAAGCTAATAGGTAAGCTATTGTCACAAATGGCATGGGAAGCAGGGCACTTTCATGAGGGAACTCTGACAATGGCAACTATTTATTTTTTTTGTTTTACATGAAAAATTAGAACACAAAAAATTAAATACAGAATTAGAACTCCAGGGATCTTCCGTGAGTTGATGGTTGGGTAAATCCCGAATCCTAGTCAGTTCTGCACATCTGTAGAGCTAATAGGTAATCTATTGTAAAAAACAGCATGGGAAGCAGGGCACTTTCATGGGAGAACTGTACTAATGGCAACTATTCTTTTTTTCAAATGAAAAATTAGAACTCCATGGGATCCTCCATTAATTCATGATTGGGCAAATCCAAACCTCATCCCTAGTTTTGACAAAAGGGTGGTCACACTACGCAGTTCTAATACAGGTGAAACTCGAATAATTAGAATATCATGCAAAAGTAATTGCAGTAAGTGCTGCAAAAGGGGCCCAAACCAAGTACTGAGTACATATGCATGCTTGTACTTTTCAGAGGTCCGATATTGTTCTATGTACAATCCTTGTTTTATTGATTGCATATAATAATCTACTTTTTTGAGGTTGTGGATTTGGGGTTCTTGGGGTTTTCATGAGCTGTAAGCCATAATCATCACAATGATGACAAATCACGGCTTGAATTATCTTGCTTTGCATGTAATGAGTCTATCTCATATATTTGTTTCACCTTTTAAGTTGCATTAGTGAAATAAATGAACTTTGCACGATATTCTAATTATTCGAGTTTCACCTGTAATTGTACTGGTGTTTACCTCTTTGAAAATAGGATGCCATTGGATGAGCTTTTCATCGACAACAAGTTGCTTTCCTGGAGGTGCAAAACTGCTGTAGCTTCCAATCTGTATATATTTTGTTGTTTTATTGGGCGTGACGTACCAGTTCATTATGTCATATTCTCCTGCAGTTCCTCTGTTCTCAAAATGGAAATTCTCACCCGATGATGTTTTAAAATTAACATTCTTAAGATATTTATTGAGCTGGGAAAGTAACAGGATGAGACAAAACATGTAAACATAAGATCCAGTGGAGGACAAAGTGACCAAACGGGCCCCTGTCAGAAAAACATTTTAGGACCACTTTCAACTGGGATAGACAGATAGACACATAGGTAGATAAGTAGAAAGATAATAGGCTGCATGACCTTTTCTAAGGGGGGGGG